GTCGCCACCAGTAGCACACGCCACGACGATGGTGCCGAACGCTCGCCGCACGGCCGCCAAGGTGTTCCGGCCGCCGCCGCCGCCGCCGCCGCCGCTGCTGCTGCTGTTGCTGGTGATGGTGACGACTTTGGCGCGCGCCGAGCACTACACCAACCAGTTCGCCGTCCGCGTGTCCGGCGGCGGCCGCGACGGACAGGCGGACAGGGTGGCCAGAAAGCACGGGTTCGTCAACCGCGGACAGGTTAGTGTTGTCGCCGTCGAATGGCTCCCCGTACCGTTTACCCGTAACCGTTATTATTCGTCCCTCCGGACCGTAACGTGTTCGCGACCAGCGATCCCTGCTCCCGCATCGGTTCCCGGCGGTTTCCCGCGAACGGCGTTCCGGACGGACGACCGTCGGAGTGACCGTAGGCAAAGCCGCCGAAAAATTCCGATCCCTCCGCGATCCCGAACCCTACCGCGAGTCCTTCATTTGTTTTCGTTTTTTTACATTTTTCCGAAGCCAGTGTTTTTCGAACTGCCGTTGCGCCCCGGGACCGTCCACAGCGCTTGTTTCGATTTTTCAAAGTGTTCCTGTTCGTCGTTCGGTTCCGATCGGGAGAACGTACGCTTATATACTGCGGGGGTTACGCGTAGTTCTGTTACATCGCGTCGACAATGTTTCGAATTTTTTTGAATTTTTCATATCGGCGCCCTTTCGTTGGGCCCCTGTTTCAAGAATAAAATCTCATCCGGGTACCCGGGTGGGCCAGACCGACACTGCATGAAACGTTTTAAACGCCACCGTTTCGGTTTCGATTCTTCGCCGAGTCCCGATTAGAAATCCAACTGGCTCAGTCTGATAGAAACTTTTATCCTGCGATATGTTCACGTGGTGTCCGTGTGTTCCGTCGCGTTTACGAGATACGCGATCGCTCCTGCGGGTCGGTAATTCGTCCTGAGAAAAGGAAAACACTTGCCTCGACCGGAAAATACTTCGTAGCTGTTAAAATGATATATACAAATAAATGTCATATCTGTTAAAAATAAATATTGAAAGGCTTCGATCCGGTTCAACTTTTTATTCATTATTCGTTCTATGTAATGAATAAATTTAAAAAGAAAAAAAACACTTTATTTCACTCCGTGAAAAAATATTATTTTCTAACGAATAAGGAATATCGAGGTGCAATTTTCGAAACACATTCAAGCATTCAGTCATAGCTAATTATCGGGAAAATAATTGTTTCCAAAAAATAATTATGTCAATCAGAACATGCATTTTATGACGTTCAATTCGTATATTTACGTGATAATCGAATTTGGTAAACGCTGGAAAAAAATTTTCTTCGGAAGTTGATTTTTTCAAATTTCTTATCATTCCCTCTTCCAAATGTAAAAGATGTATCGTGGTTTGGGAGAAAAGATTTTTCTTTTTATTCGAGAAACGTTGACACTTAAACACGTAGCGCTAAACAGCGTTCAACTTTCCACTTAATCATCTGATAATAACTACTCATTTCACTACGGTTAATACATTATTGTTAGTGTTAGGTGTGTCCGATTTGATATCTATTTATTCATTTATTTTTGGCACTTTTTCATTGTGTTGCTTATGATAAATTGTTCATATATATATATATATTTACCATTTGGACACATCCACACTGCAAAGGGACTATTTTCCAGTCCCCTGGCACTCAGAATAACTTACTCGCGGTTGTAGATAAACATGTTCATAGGGTGTTGTCACTGTTGTTGTTACATTTCATTACCCTTGGGTATTTGTTCCTACTCGACATCAAAGTACAATCTCTACATTTGCCTTTTATACCGTAAAGTAAATACTATATACATCAATTTCCAACTTCGATCAATTAAATATCTGTGTAATTAATTATTTACAGCTACATATTTTTATTAACGCATTCTAAAATTGCATGTCCAAACAATTGTACGATATTAAAAATTCACAGTTGCATATAAATAAATTTAAATCCTCCATTAGATAAATATAAAAACAAATTTCTGCGGAAGCTTTGGTGGTAACCTAAAAAAGTTTATATGTTAACGTATGTTATATACTAGTAATACTTAGTAATACTGCTGCAGTATTAATGAAAATGAGAATTTTTGACATAAATTAAAAATAAAATAAATTATTCACTACACCTAAATATATATATATTGGTTTATTTGCATTCTCAAATTATTATGCATAGAATTACAGATAAAAAATGTTCTGAAATCATTTATATTTGTTTTATCTTCGTTACACTAAGTATATTAAAATTATTTTTGAATAAAATAATAATAAAACTATGCAAATTTGTATCTACAACAGTACAATGTATCATTACCTACCAGCTTTATTTGGTACCAACCTGTTGCTTTAAAACGTACACACACTTTTATTTTATCAAATATAAATTTCTTTAGGGAATCAACTGTTTGTAATGTTCTATACGTTCAGTATGATTTGATATATTAATATATAAATAATTAATTGGATTGTATTTTACAATTGTATTTTGTATTTCGATTAATTATTTTTATGATATTGTTCGAGTATTTCGATACGTAAAATACTACATGTACACTATCCTTTACGTATTCTTTCAGATTTACCATACAAAATGGGTGTTCCAGTTTTATTTAAACATCGGCGGTCCAATAATATTTATTTGTTTTAATTCATATTAAACATTTTAACATTAACCTAATGAATGTATGGTAAATAGATTGAAGAAATCTGTAAACGATTTATTTATAACACGCATAATCAATACTAGATTTAAGTGTTGTCAATATTTGGTTGCTTGTCGTACGGAATTCATTGGTTTATTTTTTTTTGGTCCCATAATATATTTTGGATGATAAATAACTATTTTTTATGCTATAAAAGCATGTCTTAAAATAAAAATATAACTTAGTAAAAATTATTTTAATTTTTTAAATTGGCATACCTACAATATTTAGACTAATGTTTCTGTATCTAGACAAATGTATAGGTTATTATTTGATAATATATACATTTCGTTCACATATTAATTTAAAGGAGGATTAAAATAAATCAAAGAAAAAATTAGTTCGGATATAAAGAAAAACGAACACGATAATTTATTCTATTTTTATGTGGATGAGTCTTACATAGGTAATGTTTTGAATGCGAGTATTTTCATTGATACATTTTTTTTCAAAGTTAACAAAGGGTTTGGTTTTTTAGGGTGTAATTTACATGTCCGATAGAACCCCAACGATTATCAACATAAATGGTTGACCATTAACTGTAAGGATAAAAATATATTAGACCCTTTTCTAAACACTTGAACGAATATTGCAATTTATGTAATGGCATAATTGAGGGTCAGTTATGTTTATAATTAGTCAAATTCGTTTAACTCGATTGCATTTGAAACCATATTTTACTATGTGTTAACATCTAAAATGTTTAGCCAGACTTCATTTAGTATAGTGAAAATAACTTTGTTTTGTTTAATGTTTGGTACTTTAAATTGTTTCAATAACATAATATACCGATAAAACTAATTTTCATTATTATTACGAGTACGAGCTATTATAATACTATTGTTAAGGATACTTAAATCAATAATGTCAAATACATTTCATGAAGAACACTATTTGCAGAAAAAACATTTAATATTATTGTTCAGAACATATTGTAAAATTCAGATAAACAACAGCTTACATTTACAAATTACGCTTAAGCTTTCAAAAAGAGTTAGAACAAATGATCAATGTATTTTGACTACTATTTGTAATAATTTAGCTTTATTAGGTACTGTAATGTTTAAATTTCTAAACGACTAGTAAAATAAAATAAATATCATATGTAACATGTAATATCATTATAATTTTACATTTTACTATGACATTAATTACTATACGATTTGGAAAACATCTCTAGTTAAAATTTAGCTTCCCTACTCAAAACATAGGGATTATATTTTACGGTTTCATCAAATTATATAAAACTACTAGAAAAATAAGAAAGTAACTTAATTTAAGTAAATTCATGTAATTTTCGTATGTATCGTTGAGGGTTCCAAAAAACTATTATAGTTATTATAAAGTACTGTTATAAAGTGTTGAAAAAAAGCATTACCTGCTTATATTATAAAACCAATTATTTTCTTATCATTATATTTATAGTGCAAACTCCATAAGATATAATAGTGACTATTAATATTCCCATACGAATATTTTTTCCTTTATATTGTGTTATTTAAATAAAATTATTTTTATTCTAAAGATTTTTATTTATTTTCCGTATTTATGATTTACACCACCTGGGTAGTTACTCTGTATGGATGAAAAAATATATTCCAAATATGATTATATTAATGTAAATTATACGCGTTTTTGGCGTAATTCAAACAAAATGAAAATTATGTTACTTGAATAAATTCGGAAAATAATCAAAAGGTGATTTCGGATCAATTGGCCATGTAAAGTTAAAAATTGAAAAACTGCGTTAGAAAATAATGTTTAAATGAGTATTGTGACAAAAATATAATACATTTTTGCGAATACATTTATTTTATTGTTATGCACAGACATTTTTTATGTATCACTTTTCTGTCGACACCATTTAATATGTTTTAATATATATATTTAATGGATTTGTTAAAATACAAATTCGAAAATGCTCGTGTAACCTTTTTTTTTAAAAAAAAAAAAATTATATTTATTGTGTGTTTGTGAGTGTTTGTGGAGAGGAGGTGGCTTATTTTTATTTTAGCATGATTTCCGATGATACAACTGAAAAATTCTTCAATAATATTAATAATAATTGTATTAAAGTACTCCCCTACAGTTCTTTGACTTAGTTATTCCAGATGCCTGATGGAAAGTTTTTTGTACTATAAGTGAATCTAAATTTTCCAACATTTCTTTCCATGATTGATTTTCTTTTCCCTTTAAATTGTATAGCACATAAGTCTTAGAACATGTATTTACAATTTATTTATAAAATTAATTCAAGCGGCTGATACATTTGTTGGTATTTCACTTAATATTGGTAACAATATTTATTCTATACTTTCAGAATATTTGTAAAAACCACTGAATTCTGAGCGTCCCGATTTTGTATTGACAGAATACATATATTTTTAAAAATAAATAATGTACTCAGTGTTGTAACCAGATATTTTAATCAGTATATTATAAACTTATAGACTAACGGATAATACGAAAGTATGAATAATAAAGATAAAAAATAAATTATTTTAAATTTATTCA